CTGCCAAACCAATCTGGTTTTGCCATTATTTTTTCATATATTTCAGCATATGAAGCTCACAGAAATAACTCAGTAGAGCTGTTTAAATTGGAAAGTCACAGTTTGAAAAGGTATGCGTAGGGATATGTGCTTGTGGTTAATGAGAGCACTCTGCCTCCATCAGTTTAATAAACTGCTTGTCTTAAAACTCCTTCAAAAACCTGGGAGAAAAAAAATCTCCAATTTTAATTTACAAGATGGTACAGTGTTTCTGAATATTGAGGTCTTCCTGGAGTATTACATATACACAGCACAATCCTAGTGAGCACACAAAAATCAAAGCAACTGCCCTACACCCAGTTTCCAGTTGCACACACACTGAAATGGTGTTTTAAATACTACTCAATGCTCAACGTAAAGGCATCTTTCTAAGTCACATTCTCACTTCTTTTCATCCTGCAGGGATTGTCTATCCTGCTTTCTGAGGCTCCCAAACAAGACAGCTTGATCCACCATACTGACTCTGGTAAAGCCCCTACGGAAGGCTAATGGCTATGATCACTGGAGCTGGCTGGCTGGAGCCTGCTGTTCATGTCAGCATGAGCTGACCCTCAAAATCCCATCCTCCATCCTTGCACCAGCCTACAAGTCCAACAGGATGATTTGCGTGAGCAGGGTGTATGTCAAACTGTCTCAGCTTAGCCTGGATTGCAAAACTGTCACTCCCATCCTTTTTCAAGCCTTTCCCTGGACCACTGCACCAGAGGGATCTAGCACCAGCTTGGAGTCTGACATCTCCTCACTGGTATTACTGTTGGTTCCTAGGATGATGGCATCACTTTCAGGTCCCAGCAGAGACCTGGGCCCACTGTACGAGACACGGTACAAATGTTCAGTGAGCATCAGTTACTGCCGGAGGACTTTTCACTCTCAACAGAAGCAATGAACAGTAGGGCTCTGTTGTTCTGGCTCTGAAGACCTGAGGAAAAGTGAAGCAAAGGGCAGGATCTATGAAAGACTTTGAGGGTCTATCCCCTTAATGTATTTAAACAGTAACCATAAAAGTACTTTTGTAATATACATGATTTGCCCAAGCACACAGGGAACCAGGGAACCAAATCTAAAAGCTAGTCCGTTGCCTTAGTCCAAGGACTAATCTTGTAAACATCCAGTAAAACAAAGGAGCTGCTGGAAAGTGTCTGGAGGAGCGCAACAAAGCTGGTGAGGGGTCTGGAGCACAAGTCTTATGAGGAGCAGCTGAGGGAACTGGGGTTGTTTAGCCTGGAGAAGAGGAGGCTGAGGGGAGACCTGATCGCCCTCTACAACTGCCTGACAGGAGGGTGTAGTGAGGTGGGGGTTGGTCTCTTCTCCCAAGTAACAAGCAATAGGATGAGACAAAATGGCCTCAAGTTGCATGAGAGGAGGTTTTGATTGGATATTAGGGAAAAATTTTTTCACCAAAAGGGTTGTCAAGTACTGGAACAGGCTGCCCAGGGAAGTGATTGAGTCCCGATTCCTGGAGGTGTTTAAAAGCCGGGCAGATGAGGTGCTTAGGGACAGGGTTTAGTGGTGGAATGGCAGTGCTAGATTAACGGTTGGACTTGATGATCTTAAAGATCTTTTCCAACCTAAGTGATTCTACGACTCTATGATTTTATCTCTAATGCACCACAAACTGCAAGTCAAGTTCACTGGCTGCAAGTGTTGCTCTTCCCCTTTCAGTGTCACCAGACAGACAAGCAGTAGCCCAGGCAGCAGAGCTAATGGGGTTTGGTTTCCTACAGATTTGTGTCCAGTGTCCCCAGAAACTCCTTTACAGCAGTGCAATAACCACTATTCACATCCGTGATGCCTTCAGCAATCCCTCTTCCATTGCTGCTTGCTTCCAGCTGGTGCCATCTGTTCAAAATCCGGTAACGCTGCTGTCGTGATCGGGCTGCACTGCAGACGTGTCAGCTGCACGGTAGGTGTGCATGGGCTTGTAAGGGGCAATGTGGTGGGCCTCTCCCCTGTCCTGCTACTTTATTTCAGTTTTTTATTTCAGGAATCACGATGTTTTTGAGGTCTTTACTCTTCTGCCTACTTTGTTTGACATTTCCCACAAAGGCACTGCCTGACAGACAAACAAATGGACGGCACGGTTGCATACGCCCTGTTCCCTTAGGAAACCAGGCTAGAAACAGAAACATTTTGGGCGCGTTGGGTGAGATCTGCGGTTTCCAGGCATTCACTTCACTAAAAACCGACACGCACTGGAGCTGCCGGTCATGCATTAGCTTACAATGGCTTCTTTTATCTCACAGTGAAAGCTGGGTGTTTCAGCCACAGCAGCATTTGATTATGGTGGTTACAGCATTAGCTAATTGCAAAGCAACGCCAGCCTATTTAAGTGCCACAGTTTTGGGTATGTCTTTTGAATGTGTTTTCTCATTTCCTTATGTGTACATGTAAGACAGAGAAAGACTGGTTATACATATAAACACACATTATATATGCACTCTATTTTATGCACCACAGACTGCACCATAGGAAAATGTATATGCAAATATAAACATATATATTCATGGATGTGTCAATATATGGGTCTTTATATATAACATTATATACAATATTCTATAAATGCATGCACATAATATTTTCTATATGTGCATATACACATATATACATATATACGCACACATATCTATAGATATATACATAGATATGTGTGTGCATACATACACACATATATAGATTATATTTTAAGATGGGCCGGAACTAAAACACAGGATTCCAAGCCTGTGCTTTAGTTCCTTAAGCGATGTTACAGTTCCTTAAGGGATGTTACTGAGGAAGACCTCCTAGGGTGGCTTCTGTACCAAGTGCCTCAGTACAAACCATTTTCCCTTTTAGAAAGCCATTGCCAACTGCTTGGCTAAGACCTCATTTTTCTTATGTCCCCATGGTTTTCTTTTTACCAAGTGATGGAGTTCAAAATTTAACATCCTCAGTCTTGCAAGTGCTGAGCTTCCATTTGGGTTGAGGCGAATGGGTCAGATGTGACCTCTCCTCTCACATCATCCAGGCCAAAGGCAGTCATGAAGCTGAACCTTGCAAAGTGCTGGAGTCCTCAGGTTCCTTATCACTGGAGGAACAAACAGGAGAGGCACTTTGCACCTGCACTGGAACATGCAGACAGGGATCATCCTTCTTTTCTGCCACTGGAGATTTCGGGGAAGCTTCAAAAAAGAAATAGTAAAAGCTTTGAATTAAGGAATGACCTTGCTCTATGAAAAAATTATGGGCCAAATCCTTGTATACAAAGATGCTACCAAAGTTAACTGCTCTTGAAGACAGACAGCATTTCTCCTAGATGTTTTTACATAGGGAGTGCATTATTTTCAGCCTGCTCACAAGAAACTTTAATTTATCATAGCCAGAAAGATTTATGTCTCCTGGGAACTAATCTAGCTTCATCTGGATTATCAAGATGAAGACAGACAACTTGCCAACTGAAACTAAAGCAAAATGACTGATTTATAACAGTTGCATCATTAGAAGTTCAACCCTGTACTGGTCCCATCTCCAGACCAAGTGTCACCCAGCAGTGCTGCTGTGCCAGCAGGGATTTTAGAAGCAGATACTACAGTTCCCCATGCAGAAACACATTTCTAATCTCCCAGGTGAGGTAACAGTGAATGTTCCATGGTACATAGGTGCTGCACTAACAACTTATTGGAGAAAAAACTGGCTCCATCATCCTTCAGTGATGGTAAATGTATTGTCTGGAAAGGTAATGACAGTTTTTTCCTTCTCTTAGCTGACATTTGCATGTGAAACCACTTCTGCGGGAAATGTTTACACTGGTGTTTACTCTAAGCAGCAACCCAACTGCGACTGATGCACCAGAAGCTATGCCAAGGGTTGTCCTCTCCTTTTGCATCCACTCATCCACAGAGCTGATGGGAAGCCTAACGCCTGTTTTCTCGTTTAGCATGTCTCCATTCCTCTGCCCCAGCCGTGTAAAACAAAGGTGTGTGTCACTGGCAAGATGGCAGTGGGAAGCAGGACCTGCATGCTGGTAACGCCATGGGGAGGAGGAGGAGGTGGTCCCCAGACCACACCATTGCTATGTGAATAAATAGCACATGAGGTGTTGTCCTTCATGTCTCATCTGACTCTCTACATTTCATCCTTCAGCTCTGGAGAGCTAAGATAGGACCAATACATAATCCATGGACAAGAGGGTCTGTTCTGAAAATTTGAACTCTGGGGTGGCCATTTTGGATTCAGAGTATTCAGGCTGCTCAGGATCAGAGCTGGTAGAGAAACTGTGAAAATGTCCCTGACACAAGCTACTCCAGATGATCGATGTGAGTCCAAGGAGAGCAGGACTCAGAGGATCTTTGACCCAGCCTAGTGCAGTGCAACAGGGACTCCTTAAGCAGAGATTTCAAGAGAAACCCTTGGTTCTTCCCATGAATTTCACCATGGGGTGGGATCTGACTGAGAATGACAGAGGGGGAGTTTCTAGGACTGCTGTCAGTGTGACAGAGACCTGAGTCTAGTCCCAAGGGTCACCAGCATCAAGGACTGAAGTAAATGTTGAAAATAAAATATATAGGCCAATGCTCATTTAGCAGTTTAGACCACAATATTCAAGAAATGACAGTAGCGATATCTGAAGCTCATGTCTAAACTACTGACAGCCATACTTTTGCTGTCATGCTAGTGTATTATTCTTTCCTTTGGCCAATTAAACTGCTGCCCTAATAAATGACAGTGCCAACAGGACCGTCATTTAAGTCCTGGAATCTGTGCATAGAGGAATTTCTGGCTGTCGTTAATAGATGGAGGTCTATTAGAGTTGAAAACCCTGCTTCTTCAAGGCCTCTCCAAAAACAGCGTGGCAAAACAAGGAGATTTAACATCCTAACTCAGGAAAAAACAAATTGTACATTGGCAGCGGATGAAAGATTCTCCTTTTATTTTAAAACCTCTGTAAAATCAGAGCAATGGGTCAATTCCAGCATTCAGCCAATTTAATTAGCGATCTCAGAGTAATCATGGTAATGAGCCAAGTCGGCGAAGATGTCATTGGGGTTCTTGCAGTTCAGGTTGCAAAAACATGCATTGATCCACATGATTTTCCAGGAAAACTCAGTTCCATCTGGGCACTCAAACCTCACTTCAATAGTCTTGGACTTGTAGGGGGTGCAGCACCTGTTGTCTGTGCAGACACCACAATATTTGGGTCTATATGGACTTTTGCTCACACATCCTGAGATGGTGTAGTTCATTGGTTCATTGGCCCTGTAGACAGCCAAGCACTTCTTTCCAGGCTAAATCAGAGAAGGACAGAAAAAGAGACAGGTTAATAACAATTGCTGACACGGGTAGGACATGCAAACAATCTTCCTGATATTTAAAGGATTTTGAAGCCGTTAGAAAGCATTTTACAGCCCTGACCTGGAGGATGTGACAGATTTACGTGTTTAGATGTACAAAGCCAGAAGCTGCAAGTGGGATATTTGCAATATACAGTTCATAGCCACGACTGTAGTGCGTCGTTGCTTTTCCATGAACTGAGCCATGGGTCTGTCTGAGCCAGCAGCGAGCACAGCGAGCTTGGCTTGCCTTGCCTTTCAGGGACCTTTTGGCTGGAATTAAAGCTCTCAGGGGAAGGTTTTCATATCAGTGCGTGGAAGCGCAGGAAGCACACACTTCTGACCTCCCCACAGAACAGCGAGCGAGTACTCCCTAACAGCCTCCGAGATGAGAAGTGCAGCCCCCAGAGGCCTGAATGCTGCCAAAGAAAGGCTGATCCCATGTCCAGGCAAAGCTCAAGGGGCATGTGGAGGAAGAGTCCCCACCTTAATGTGCTTGGTTATATCCACCTCGCAGGGCCTCATGTTGCACAGGCGGCTTTCCTTCAGGAGCCTGCACTGGTCGTTGTCGTTGGAAATCCTGGTGGAGATGCCCAGCCCACAGGTCTTTGAGCAGGGACTCCAGGATGAGGTGTGAACGATGCAGTTCTTCTGCCAGGCTTCATCCTCTCCCTCGTACGCTGCAGAGAACAGATAACCCCACATTATTCAGCCGGGGCAGCTTTCCGTATTAAATACTCTCTCCCCAGCTCATTACACATTCAGGCCACTAACCCAAATAATTAAGTCACAACAAAGTGGCTCAGCAAACCTCCTCATCCCACCCCTTTTGCTGCTGACCTACTTGTGTCAGACTCTCCAGTGCTGCAAATGCGCGGGGCCAGAGCTCATTTCTTTATTTCCCTTTGTAGCCTTGCACAAGGGGGGGTCCTTGTCTGGGACCCCCAGGTGCTTCCACAATACACACACTTAATTACAGAAGCCTGCCCCAGCCAGTGCAGAAAAGGGATGGGATCTGATCTCACCATGAAGGTTTATTTCTGAGCCCATTCAACTGATTCCCTGTAGCAGAAAGTTGTGGGGGGGGGGCGGGGGGTTTGGGGAACCAGCCACAGCCTTTCACTGGGAGGAAGAGCAGCCTGAATGGCTCTCAGGGAGCTCGGCAGCCACTTGAAGAAAGGGTGGGCTCTGTTTTGAATGCGGCCGACAACCCCAGTTCAGGTTCCTTCACAGCCTCAGCCAAAGTCCCTGCTGGTCTGCAATTCACAGTGCAGACCGTGGGCAAAACTCTGCTGCATCGAGCTTGCTCAGTATTCTATTTATTATTATTATATTAATTATTATATTAAATGTAATAAATGCAAATCTTGCCTCTATAAGACTTCTACTTAGAAGAGAAAAAGTCAGGCAAGGAAAGCTGTGTTATGCCCATTTTGGGACACAGGTCATGAAGACACAAGGCCAATTTTAGTAGTAGATGTTTTGAATTTGGACCTACCTACCAGTTCAAAGCTACCAGGGACAGAAACGAGGCTAAACTCTGGCATTTTTAACCTACAAAATGGAGGCTGAGGCTTTGTTTTGTGCAACAAAAATACAGACCAAGGGTTGGGGAAAAAATCCTTACCATCAAGGAACCAAAATCCTGGTTTACAACAAGCATCCTCGAGCACTGCTCTTGTGAGATAGTCTGTAAAATGGGGCTACGGGGGCTAATGTCACTACACTGCATCACAGAGTGTCATGAGGATAAATTTAAGACCTATGGCAAAGTGAGCCCATCTTAAGCATTTGGGACCAGTTTGAGGCAAATGGTACCACCTCTGTGCAGTGGGCTATATGATCCCCACTGTGAATGTGAGTGTGAGGAAAGAAGATACCTTATGTGATACATAAAACAGGTAGTTCAATAATGTCCTCAGTCCAGAATTGCTAAAAATTCATACTAACGCAAAAACAATTTAGCCCGGTGAAACTTCCACCACAATAACAGTTTTCAGGCTGTTAGGTAAGTTTGAGACTACTAAGATACAAGGGCTTTAAAATCATACTACTAAAGCAATATAAACGCAGGAAGAAAGCCTCAGCCCCAAATTAAACTGAGCCCATTCTGTTTTCCAGAGGGCCCAGACTGGAAAAAAAAAAGGTGAAGTAAAGAGGACTTGTGACATCTTCAAAGTGCCAGCAGATGTGTGCTTCAAAGGGGCCTTTGTCACACAAGCATGTTTGATGGATCTCATATGACTGCTAAGGAGGTCAAGCACACTACGGGCGTTTGCATGACCGGTCCTTCACTACATGCTTTATAGGAGTCTCTGTGCCTTGCTAACACAAAGACTAGATGCCTGCCAGGTCTGCTGGTACAAGCGAACGCTTTGGCTGAAGAGACTTCAATTCCCCCACAATGAAGGAAAGGTCCACATCACTCCCACCATACCTGCAGAGGAGATGTGGCGTGGAGACGTCTTCCTGATTTTCTTGGAGTCGTCACAAATCCACTGTTCGCAGCACTTCCCTGCCATCTTAATCAGCTTTGGGTTTGGGCACCAGACAAGGGGAGGACGTGAGTTTGTGCACATGGGAATACAGCCCACGGCCCCATTAATGCATGTGCAGTTGTATTTGCAGTTGGGCTGGAATGTGTCCCCGTTGTTATACCTGACTCCATTGAGGACACATCCTACACCGACAATCTCTGGAAGGAAAGAAAAAGAGAGAAAGACCCACAGAGCACCGTTAAAATAATGCTGGCAACAAGCAGTGTTGATGTGTTTCTTTACCAAGCTGCTCCCTGGGCTAATGGAGCCAACGCGGTGGCATGGCTGTGCTGCTGGGCGATGTATTCAACGTGATGCTGAGCCAAATGCAGTCACACTGTCTAGGAAACTGTTTTCATTCTGAATAACAGCAAAAAAAAATGAATCTTTTAATGCTTCATTGAAAAAAGAAGTTAGAAAATAAAACAAGTTCTATCCACAAATGCTCACTTAAAAAATAATTTCATGGCACGCTGGTAAAAGTTAATAGCAGTAGGAGCAATCAAAGTAATTAAAACAGTTATTGAGTGAAATTTGAGGTTTTCAGGGACACATGAGAGGACTACATGAAGCTGCAAATATGACACAGCTCTTCACAACAGCTGTACCCATCGGAAGCAGAAGGAGGAGGACAGCCAAGGTAGCAAAGCAGCACCTAAAATGGCACTGGATTCCTGTATTTAGGCAACTAGATCACACTCTGTTTATCAGAGAAAAGTTTTCTTGCAAAATGAAGTAGCACATTAAAAGCCATGTAAATTAGTATTTTATGTATGTTTTTAAATAAAATCACAGAAAATCCCAAGCTTTTTGATTGCCTGTGAACAGGAATCACATTGATTCAGGAAAAAAAGACACAAGTTGTATAAAGTAGCAACTTTTTTGTTTCAAAGTTATGGACAGTGGCAGAAATATTCTCATGGAAAATTCAAACTTCAGTTTCTTGTTTGGTCACAGGGAGGCAGTGCGCACTCACCCATCAGATTGCTGAAGTTTTAAGTCTGGTCGGAAATGGAGCTGCAATGTGGCTGCTTCAGCGCCAAGACAAATTGAAATGCTGGATTAAATATCTGCAAGGGCTTCCTATTTTTAGAATGAGCCGAATGAAAACTTCAAACACAAATCCCTTCTTCTGCAAAAAATGAAACTTGTTGGAATTTGAAGCACAGATCCAGGTCTCCAGTTTGTGCTTAGCTCCGATTTTGATAATGCTTCATCCTTTGTATTGAAGAGACATCACTCGGTGCTGGAGCTGAGGATTCAGCTGAGCTTCTAGGTGTGCACATGGCTTATGACCATTTAAGAAAATGCTGTATTTCCCTCTGTTTTGCTACCAGCATGTCCTTCCTGGCCTGTGTTAACTCAGCCTCCTGCAGGTCTCATACATCAAGAGGTTCATCATGAGAACATCCCCAAACATAGATAAAGGGGCTGTTGAATGCCTTCATGCAGAACCACCCTGAATCTGCATCTAAGTCAGTCGATTTGGGAGCACTTCACAGTTCCTGGCCCCACAAGCACAGTGCCTGCCTCCCCACCTGGGCATGTGCTCAGCACCCTGCTGTCCCAGCTTTGGCGCGGAGAAAAGCAAGCAACAAAAGGGGAGCTGTAATAACTCCCAGCAAGCTTCTGTCAGATGTCTGGATGACCAGATCCTGGGACACACCTCAGCGTGCGAGTCCAGATACAGCCTGAATTTCCCACGTTTTCACCCCATTCACTTTCCCAACACCAGATGGTAGCTCTTTCAGGATCTTTATTTTCCACAAATTATATTGTTCCTGTAGTCCTGCACGCACTGGATCCTTTACACCTAGCTTTTGGCAAGCAGCTGCAAAGCACATTCTTCCCAGCAGTTAGTCCCCAACACCCAGCACAGGAGTCACATTTCACTTCACCCAGGGCAATAGCTGTGTGCTCAGGGTGGAGTGATGCAGCCTATATATGACACAGTGTACCGGAAAGAACATGGCAGCAGACCCTGTCGTGTGCATCTACCTGGATGCCAAAAGCAAGGGGAAGACCACAGCTGTAGAAACAGCAGCCAGAGACAAACCACTTCATTTCCTAACCACGGAGAGGTCTACTTCTCATGTCCCTCAGCTGTGCACACCACAACGCCCCTCACCATGCCACCATAAATGTCACATAATAGGGTTTATGTGTTCATGGCAGTAGGCATGGGAAAGCGCACTGGACTTCACTGGGGATGCTGAGGATCAATCTTCCTACATCACAGTGCTGTTGCCACAGGCATACTGAATGCCTGTGATGTATGGAAGGACTACAAAAAGCAACCAAAAAAAATTCAACTAAGAAAGCAAGCATTTCAATAAATAAACGCGAAGCAACGTGAAGGTCTTTAAAGAGGCCTAGGAAGGCTGAGGTGGCTTTGAGACAACATCCACATTGTTTTCCTCTACCAATGCAGGGCCAGCTGTAAGGATGTCGTTCTTGACAGATGTTTATCTAACCTGTTCTTACAGACCTCTCATGAATGCTCCACACACACTTCAGACAATACATTTGAATGATCTCCTATCCTCTTTTCTTAACCTTGGATCTTTTCTAATCTTGAAAATTACTGTTTAAGCTTACGGGTCCTTGCACTTACCTTCTCTTGATGTCATTTTGCCCCTATCCTACAAAACTCTGGTTAGACTGCACTTTCTGTATGCTTGTTTTTTATGGCTGAGCTAATGCAAAGCCAAGTTCATTTCTTACTACACTTTCCATCCTTCTGCTGAGGAACAGCAACCCCTAGTACCATTTCTGTGAGAGACTGCCAACTACCCTGAACCTTTTTACTCAGGCTCATGAGGACTAAACCCCCTTGTGAAAGGAGTACTCCTCCCTTGTAAAACTGCTGACTTTCTAAGTTTATTGAAGCTGATTTTTTTTCAATCTTTTCTCTTTCCTGATGTCTATCTATTCATCTCTCAATAAGCTCTCCTCCAGGTTTCCTTCCACCTTTACATTTTCTATTAGTACCTCATTCATGGTTATATTCCAGCCTAGAAGACTCTCCCTCTAAACGGCTTTCTCCTGTTTATAAATCTAAAGCCATAACCAATATGTTCTAATAGCTTGCTAAACAATCAGCATCCTTTCTGATCAGCTGTCTGTGTGGTTTTACTCATGATCCTTTGCCTTTTAATCATTCCCAGGGTAATGATTTTCAATCATTTATGACATTTATGAGCCGACCAGATTCCCCCCATGTTCTGGATCTCAGAACAAGTGAATATATCCTTGACACACAAAATGCTACCTCATTTCTTTTTCCTCTTCTTCTTGAATAAATTCATTCCAATCACATGAATTATCCCACCAAGAGTTTGTTATAACAGGCAGGAAGAAATCCTTCTGCTTCATGGCAGCTAATGTGGCTGAAACTGTTGGCAGATTAAGGCTCAGACCTCAATTTGTCACTGAGAAACTTTGCTAGGACATGATTCACCCCTGACCCTGTTGGCAGGATACCACATGCTATCCTTCTTACGGATCTACTGTTGGGACTAAGCCAAAAGCGTCTCCTTAATGTCATGGTTTTCATGTAGATGCCCCTGTCACTTGTCTTTAAAGCCAGCTGTATATACCTACCCTTCCTTCATCCCCAACTCTCTACAGCACCTTCTCCTGTTACAGAAAATACAGAATCATCTACTTGCAAATCTGAAGACCTTCAAATGCTGGTTGCTCCTTGCTCTTGGCTTCAGCCAATTCAAAGAGCAAGAGCTCAGATGTCATTTCTCATCCAGCCAACTTCCCTGAGAATGAAGACAGCTATAAGGAAATGGAAGATGACGAATGGAGGAGTTGATGAGTATACAGTCAGGTATTTAATGAGATAAATCTCAGCCATTGTTCAGATCGAGGGGAGCTGCCAATGTATAGCTAAGTCAAAAATATATGTACATCACTTACGTGCACATACTCCTATTTCGTACCTAGGTCTGTCTCCGCTGTAGTCACAGTACAAGCCCCTGTGGAAATCACAGGTGTCGGCCTCAGTGCAACTTTCTCCTCGCTGCTTGGCACATGTCTTGCAGCAGTCGCAGCCATCTGTGACCAGGCTGACACCTACCGAGCACCGAGGTGGGGTCTTCGGACACTCACATGGCCACTTACAATACTGAGTCCGTGTGTAGGCTTCTGTTGTGGCAGGGACGGTGGGGGTCATGGTGGTGGAGGTCTGGGCAATGGCCTACAAACAAAGAAACACACAGCTCGGAGAGCGTTCCAGAGAAAAGGGGGCTGCGCATCCTGCAGTGATTAGTCCTCAATAAAAATCCCCTCAGGTCTAAAGAATTGCAAGAAACCAAGATTTAATGTCAAAGAGCCCTGGAAAGGGAGCAGTCACTGCTCTCTTGGGAACCCTTTCAGATACCAGCTGTGGGCAAGTGCTCTGCAGCTTAAACTAGCACCCAAACTGCATAACCCCAGTCAGCTGGTACTCAGCCTTTTCCAGACCTTTCCTCTCTAAACAGAGGTCTCTCTCCATGTAGGAACACAGGCACACATGTCAAGACTCCTCTGATGCATGAGAAGAAGGTGTGACATATCTTCAGCCTATGTCACCCTGTGGTGCTTGGTGCTGGCATAGGATTGTGCCACCCCATAGTTGTTGTGCTTGTTCATTGAGACATGGCTCTAGGGCCTCTTGGCTACTCAAAAGGCTTCCTCAGGTGCCCTTCAGGTCACCAAGCAAGTTGAAGGTCATTGTGTTGCGGTATGAAAGCATGTGGCATGTGGCCCTGTTTGGCATAATTTTCCTCAGGTTTATTCACATTTGTGGGGGTGTTGTAACCAAAACATGGGATCCCATAAATCCACAAAAGGACTGGGAGCAGGCCTGTGAGCCCACCACCCTCACAGACACACAGTCATGAACCTCTGCATTGTGAGGATGATCTGAAACCCACAGGCCATCTGAAACTCCATCACAGACCTCCTGAGGATGTCTTGGCCATTTCGTCTCTTCTTGCAATACTCCTAATACCACAACTGCTGCCTTACAATATCCCAGCCCTTTGACTTGAATAGAGATGAGATTAGAGACATGAAAAGATAACGTCTGAAACCAAAATCTGCCTAACTGTCTGTGCATGTCTTGATGCACAAGTTCACCCACCGCTGAAAAATGTTTTGCCTGTCTCCACCCCTGTAACACAACACACAGGCAGTTCAGCTCCCTGACAGAGACCCAGTCCTAAGCAATGAAGCTACACTGTGGATATAACATTTAAAAAAAAATTAAAAAATAATAATAATTTTAAAATTTTAAAAATAAGTAAGTCATGCATTTCCTCTCAGCACTCTGATAAACACCCTTATCCATCTTTTGCAGTGTCCAGGCTACTCTATTCAGCTGTCTGTGAATCCTAAAGTAGTCATGAAGTTCTTGGGCCTGTCTGTGATGGGCTCTTCCAGGCCTCATACTGTAGTTCCCATGATGTTGCCCTGGCCCACACAAACAATTGGGATATTTCTGCAGTGTTTTTTCACTTGGGCCTTTTGGCACATGCTTTTGTCCTACTTGGAGTCACTGTGGGACCTGTAAATTGGATGAGTGTAAATGAAGCTTCATAATGTTAGTGTTTCTCCCATTAGTCATGCACAAATATTTTCCAGCATAGTGAGCAAGGAAGGAAAACTTTTATGGGGAGGATATTGCCAAGTTTCCATTTCCTGATCTCAATTTCCTTGGCAAATATGAAAAAACCAAAACTGCAAATTAATTAAAAATCTGATAATCAGATTAAAAATCTGATCAATGTAAATCAAGCTAGAAAAGGGATTCCATGTAACATAGTGATGCTACTCCAGTAGACACCTTCAGGTCCCTATTACTGAGATAACGGAGTGCTGGGGTACCTTAGTAGATAGCAAAACCCATAGAGGTTCATTGCCTTCTGGGCTCTCCAGTCCCCGCAGACCAAACTCTGGATGACATTTAACACGCCAGCCATGCTTGTGGTGTGGGAAGGGTGCAAACCAGCCCAGTGGCAAAGCAAAGATGTGCCTTTTCTACCAGGATCACTGCACAGAGAGCTTGAGCTGCACATGGAGGTCAAACGGGGCACAAAACCAAAGGGGGTCATTTGCAGGCTATCAACAGCAGCCAGAACATGACCCTGCTTGGGCACATGTGGTCCAGAAGCCCTTTCTGGTGACATGATGTGAGGACTGCAAAGAATAAGTGAAAGTTCAGACAAAGAAAGTCAAGGTCTAGAAAATACTAAGGCAATCCCATCCATTCCTGGCTACCTTGTACTGCACTATATATTCCCCAACGTTTTGTCCTCTTTACAGCTTCAGATGTCTCAAACAAAAGGTTTGCCACCACCTCTCCATGAAGAAAATTCCCCAACCCAAGGTTTTCTGGGGAAAAGCATCCCCAAGAACTGTGATCCCACAGCTGATGAGCTACCCACCAGGATACATCTGCAAAGCGCTTTTACTGTCTTCTCCAGCTTCCTTGCTAGCAAACTCACATTTTATTAAAAGTTTCTAACCCTGCTACTGCTGTATCTGAAGGTGCCTGTAAGTTTCTAAGTAATTACTTTCCCTGTATTTAGAACACTAAATTGTTAACACATTGCTAATCACTGCCAAATAGGCAATGTGTTTGCTCTGGGCATAATTCCCAATTCCATTAAGGCCCCCTTTACAAACAGTTGGCCTTAAAGTTGGCTTAAAATCACATTTAAACTCATGTTTAAACTAAAGCATACCAATATAATTTACTCCCACTTTAAGGCTCCTTGATGCTGCCAAAGTTGTTAAAAGAGGAACATTCAGATCAATGAAAAGCCCTGGCCTTTTAATAGTAGCATTTTTCATTCCACTCACAATAATTTGAGTAGGTACAATAATTTGTCACTTCAGAAGAGAGGCCTCTTCAAGTGCAATAAACCTATTTACTTTGTTGCTGATCATTAAAAAAGTACTTAATAATCAAATCCAGATACTCAGACAAAAGTCACACAGCTATTTAAAGAGCCCATTGCCATGGCCCAACCCTGTAAGTAAATCCCTTCACAGTCCCTTGTTTCTATTGTCAACATGAGCAAGCAAACAGCTTCTACCCTGTGTAGATATGAAAGTGTCTGTGAACCAACATACGCAGCAAAGAGGAACCCTGCTAGTCCTATGGTTTTAGTTAATAGGTGAAGGACTGAGGCTGAATTCTTGTAAAGGACTGGGTAGCTGGGAGCCATTCAGTGGCTTGTGATAGACAGGAATTTAGAGTAAATTAAACAGCCCTTCTTCTAGGTCTAAAGCCTGAGCTGGCCAAGGAAACTTTTCAAGTGTCTTTATAGTCACTAGCTGTTGTAGTTCTTGGACGTGCCGGCTGGAATGTCCAGTGGTATCATAGAATGTTTTGGGTTGGAAGGGACCCCTAGAGGTCATCTAGTCCAACCCCATGGCTGAGTAAGCCATTGGCAGGACACTTAGTGCAGGCTACATAAGCATCTTCAAATAAACAGTGTAGACAGGCATTAAAATACTGTGACTCCCATATTTTACAAATAGGAAAGAGAGATGGAAGCGGCATCATGTCCTAGGCTCCACTGCCACCCAACCAAAACCCAACCTTTGGAAATTGTTGTCCACCAAACATGAGAACAAGTGCACAACTTGTACAGTTTCCAGACCCTCCTCCTCTCCCCTCCTAAATCCCTCAAAGCTTTGCTATGGGAGAAACAATTCTGTAGATTTATAAAATTCTTGCCTTTCCTTTTCCATGGTCATCTGTCACATCTGGAATATCTAAATCCCTTTGGAAAAGTCATTCAGCCCTACTACTTCAACGTCCAAGAACATTTTGGGATAGAGACACTTTCTTATTAATAGGCACGGTGGTTAAGATATCACGAATAATGCTTTATAAGTACCATGGTAAAAACAGCTCTTTCCACAGTTGCTATCAACAGGAAATCATGCTTTAATGGCCTTCATCAATTAATATCCTTAACTAGAAAAAACCAAATCAAACAAACAAACAAACCTCTTCATGTAAGTTAAGATTTCAGGAATCCTGTGTTCAGGGTCGATATAAGGTATAGGAGAACAATGGTTTTGTAAGAAAGCCAAAATGAGAGTGAAGAGAAACTTAACACCAAAAGCACAGTGGTGGAGATTTGACAAGTTTTGTTTTAAATGTCAGAAAGATAAAAGAATGTACCTGCAATTAAATTAATTTTTCCAGGTACTGGTAATTAACTTGTTTTGTGTAATTATTCTTCAATCTTGGGGTCTGAAGATTTGTTATCTTGCATTCAAAGGAGAAAATATTCCACCACAAGTTATTCATGATCTTTAATTTTGCTGCTTTTGGAGGTACGAGCCTATTCTCATGAAAACAAGATGAAGCCTTTCTAACCCTGCCATGGCTGATAACTCCCTATTAAAGTCGCTCCCGATTTATGCTTGGCAAGCTCCAAAATTACTTTCCCTTTGCATCTGCAGAGAATAGTATTTCTCTAACAACAATTTCCAGCTAATTTCTGTGCTTACATTCAAGAGAAGAGAAGGAGAAAATTAAAAAATGACTCACTGCCTGCCATGGCCACAAAGTCAATATTTTAATAGCCATGAGTTTTACTATCTAAGCCTTACAGATACAAACTGGATAACAGCATTTTAGCAGCATGTTCTACCTACTGGCAAAGCATATTTTCAATTTGTTGGAAAATGCTGTGTTTGTTTTTGTTTTGAAGTCTGGAAAGACCAAGCTATGGTGTTGACATTAATGTATGCAGTCCAAACTGCTAGCCAGCCAGATACATAGCAGCACTTTTAGACAATGCATGAGGAAACCTCCACCTTTGCTTTTAAGCAGCAAAGCCCTAGATGCATTGCAGTATGTTCCTTTGCTTCCAGTTTTACAGGTGCTTAAAGATACATTCACGTGTATTGATTTCACTGTTTCAGCCCTGCAAGTTCTTACTCTTAAAGCCTTTTACTTTCAGGTATTTTTCTCATCACGATGAGATGGGTGAAGGTAGGGAGAAGTTATCCATGTTCTTCCCCTCCAGTTCATTGACGGGAAAAAGTCCAAAAAGGATGGTGACTTATAAATTCAATTCCTCTGGCTATTGGCAGAGTCGGGGAACTGGTTATGAGAAGCTGGCCGATAGAGGTCTCCTCAAACTACAGTGCCTTATCACCTCCTGCTGTTTTCTCCTTGGTGGTAATTCACTCTAAAAGAAGGACTTTTGAGCTCACTCTTTAGCTGCACAAGCTGTGTTTTGCAGGGCACATGCCATTGGGTGGACTCCTTTTAATTTCATGCAGTAGAACACATTAAAGGAATATTTTTAACCTACATTTCTGATGCTGCCTTTCTGAGCAAATGCCAGATGTTATTGATGGAGGGATACAACGTGATCTGGATTATCCCCTGTCCTCCATCTCTGACGTATTCACAAAAGAAAATGGTCAGTGAGGAAATGTTTATTAAAATGTCTTCCTTACTACTAGGTGATCAAATCAGCTGATTTGCAGACTGACCCAAACATTCTTACTGGTGGCAGTTTATGCACCAAGGCCTGGCAGCACCAGCCTGTCACTGTTCAGAAATAACTCCAGAATTTGCAGTTTGCCTGTCCTAAACAGGGACGCTGAAGTTAAAAACACAACTTCAAGCAGACCCCTAAGGATGCATCTCCCAGGAAAGGGCTGTGCATTTGTACAGTCTCTCTGCCAGATGCCCCATCTGCTTTGTCCTGGTTCCACCTACTGGCTGAACTATGTAGACAGCACAAGCAGAAGCGCCTGTAGAGCCAACTACAACACCACGCACCACCCTAAATGATCCCATTAATCAAAATTATTTTAAAAGGCACCCCCAGGAGACTCACATCCACATTCACAGAGCTGCAAACATCCTAATACTAACCTGACAGCACAGTTCCCAGGGAAACACAGTGACTGGAGCTTAATAAAGAAGTAAAAATGAAAAGACAAAATGAAATATAAATAATCTATTAAGTAAAGCCACATCCCCTTCCATCCCTCAGTTACATCTCTGGGAAAGCACAGAGATTGCTTAGTTTCATCTCAGAACAGACAGAGGTTAACCACCCATAATGAATGTCAGAGAGATGGGCGCATTAGCAATGAAAAACAGGACCTGGCTTACATCAGTGGGCTTAAACCAGGCCCTCAAGGTAGAAGTTTATTTCTTGATGTTGCTCAGTTGGAACTTCTGAGCTGAATATTGCTGAATATTTGCATTATTATTACACCCAAAACAGATGGGTCAACAAAGAGCCAGCTCTTCCAGCAAGATCAGCAGTAATCACAGTGCCATCAGGAATTCTTCACTGTTATATTCTTGCTACAAATCCCTAAGTCCCCATAAATGCTCCTAAACTATCACAAGGTAATGCTAGTGACAAGTGAACGAGCATCGGGACAGAGATATAGATCAGATTCTGCAGGACGTGTAATGGTAAGAGGAATATATGATTATTTGGGGCTAAGCTTCCCCAGAGCATGCATGAGCTTCTAGATATCTCATTAAAATTGATCCCAGACATGAAATCCCCAGAACATATTGTAAAATAACAGACTCTGAACCCAGCAAATATAAGACAGTTTTATAGATGTCAGGTGCCAGCTGGATTTATTCTTGCTGTGCACTGTAGGCTGAGCAGAAATGAACGTTCTGCATGAAGCATAATATTCAATAGCCTGAGAAAATAAAATATACACAGTGAGTCAACCATTAATATTTCTGTGGATCTATGAGTGATGAACAATCAACTTCCCATAACTTTATTTTGGGAAATACATCTGTGGGAAGAATGTAGGCAGATGTTTGGAACGGTCTTTTCTAACTCAGTTTAGACAATTACAGAGTAAAGATTGCATACATTCACCTCTTTGCCAAAATATTGCTTATACTGGTAAGCTCAGCGTGGCCTCACATTTTCTTCACATTTTTCTGTGGAGTGTTAAGAGGGAAGGGACTTGCCTGTTAGAAAGCAACCTGATGTTTCTGAATGTTTTCCTGGTAAGAGTAGCACTTGCTTAGAATAGGGTGACCTAAAATGTTTGGACATCATTAACAAATTGACACTGCCACCACAAACTCCACTAATCAGGACATAAACCAGCATCGTTTCTGTGCACTAAGAACATTTTAATGTCTTGCACCGCACATGTTTGGTTTGTGCGGCTAATGAGCTCATTCAGTGAAACAAGCTTGAACTAGAGTTTGAAAAGTAACAGGGAACATCTGGAGGAGCAATGAGAAAAGTCTGCAGAAGGGACAAACAGGCAGACTTCATTTTTAGGAAGGTGGAAGGTGCATTTGGGCCATCCAAGGTCACAGGGTTACAAACCATCCTAAAACTGTACAGAACAAGCTGTTGACATATGAGCCACGAGCTGGGTAACAAAAGCAGTATCACCGTTCCAGCTCCCAGACAAGAGCAGACTGCTTTGGCAGAGGAATTACTTTGCAATTAGCCATGTTCTGCATTTGTTTATTTCCGATTTTTTAGTCATGGCCTTGAAATCAAAAGGAAGATGTCTTCTGTTCTGTAACTCCCTTGGGGACACTGTCCCAAGATGGGTAAAAAAGTAAAGTAAATAAAATTAAGAAGCTCCACTTATTTATGTTTTTCCCATGGCAAGAATAGCACAGATTTCATGGTATTTTTCAAAATCATTTTGGTTTTAATGATTTTCCTAATAAAAAGAGAAATCTGCATTTTCAGGTATCAACAATTTTCTGTTTCCGTTCCAATGCAGAGCATTTTGACTTGAAACGACTTTTCATTTTAAAATTTCATTGTTATTTAAATTCTTAAATCTGAAACAGTTTGCTTGACCTAGTATCTGTACTTCCCTAGAGTTGCTGATGCACTGACAAAGTTATGCATCCCTATTTCCCTTACATAGCAATTTTCCTCCCATGTCAAGTTTCCACTGCTATTTCCCCCAGCTTTGCCTTTCTGAGTTGATCACTTTATTTTCCAGCTGTCAAAGTGTCTTCCACCTTGAAATCCATACTGAGAGCTAGTTACTTGCTCTCATTTTGCCAGTGTTTAATAGTTTGTTCAGACAGAATTATGGAAAAGAATCTGGTCTTGGTGAAATCTCAATTAACTTCCTGGACTACAGTTCTGAATCCTCACTTTGAATGGGATATCAAGGAATTGGCAGTCCAAAGGACGGCAATCAAGATCATCAGAGACCTAAAGGTCATGACCAAGGACAAGATGCTGAGGGAGCTGGGCTTAGGTAGTCTGGCAAAGAGGTTAACAGGAGATCTAGTATCAGTCCACCCTTCTCAGTGGTAGAAGAGGGTATTCTAATAGGCAGCAGCCACAAAATGTAGTTGGGGAGGTTTAGCCTGAATGCCAGGAAGGCAACTTCTTTGCTAGAAGAGCAGTGCAGGACTGGGACAGGTCACCCAAGGAGGCTCTGAATTCTCCATCCTCTGCTGTTGGGTTAAAGACCTCCGGAGGACACTGACAATCAGCATTTCTGGCAGCCTGTGAATGCATACCTTGCCAAAACCACATGTGGAATATGCCCATAAACCCAAAGGACCAACAATATCACAGAATCATAGAATCATTTAGGTTGGAAAAGACCTTTAAGATCAAGTCCAACCGTTAACCTAACCCTGCCATCCCACCACTAAACCATGTCCCTAAGCACCTTGTCTACTCATTTTTTAAATACCTCCAGGGATGGGGACTCAACTACTTCCCTGGGCAGCCCGTTCCAGAGCCTGACAACCCTTTCAGTGAAAAATTTTTTTCTAATGTCTAACCTAAACCTGCCCTGGTACAACTTCAGACCATTTCCCCTCATCCTATCACCCGTTACCAGGGAGAAGAGGCTGACCCCCACCTCGCTACAGCCTCCTGTCAGGCAGTTGTAGAGGGCAATAAGGTCTCCCCTCAGCCTCCTCTTCTCCGGGTTGAACAACCCCAGGTCCCTCAGCTGCTCCTCATTAGATTTATGCTCCAGACCCCTCACCAGCTTCGTTGCCCTTCTCTGGACATGCTCCAGCTCCTCAGTGTCATTCTTGTAGTGAGAGGCCTAAAACTGAACACAGTATTCGAGGTGCACTTATTCCTGCAGCAAGTGCCAAAGCAGAGTGACAGTATATAGAGTTCACAAATGATGAGAGGACATTAGAGGAGAAGTTTTGGTCCAAGAGGGGAGAAAGTATTACCAGGAAGATGGGAAGAGGAAGAACCTGCAAAATTCACCACTGGATAAAATCTCCCTCAACCAGGATCAAGTCCCAGTCAAACCAGAGAGAATGGGAACAAGAGATTAAGCACAGGATGAGAGATGCCCTCATAGCCTCCGGAAAGCCCACTGACCCTTGTTCAACAAGTATAATAATATCACTGTACTTGGAGGCCCTGGGATACTTTCACATCTGTATTGTGAATGATTCAGCTGATATCACCAACTGTGAGATCCCCTGAGAATAAACAGAGAAGCTTCCAAAGATCATGGACCGACACTTATTGCACTGAACTTTCCATACACAGAAACATCTGTGCAGGAGTCTACTAAATCATTGGTGCTCACCGCATGCAGGTGGAAATGAGTACACAACGTGCTAGGCAGTGGAAAACCAGTTCCCATCATTGGTACAGATGACATGGAGTTACTGATAATGTTATGGCAAATACAGAGTTTAGGTTTTTTTTAAAAGGCTATGGCAGTGTAAAGGAACCTTAGCATCTGTATATGAAAATAAGACTTTTGTTTTTAAATCTAGGAGTTATTAGGTAAGTGGGTTTGATTACACTAATTTGGACTGATATAGGGAAGACTCAAGAGATGGCAAGAGCTGCACCCCTCCTCATCAGCAACTGTGCACAGTGTGCAAAGTCTGACAGGAGAAAACCCAAGGGGGTAAAGGAATTATTTATGGTGTTAAAAACTTACTGAGCTAGGAACAGTAGTATTTAAATTAAGGAGGGGAAACAGGAGTTGAAGACGATGGGATGCATCCAGACAGCAAGAGATATTGGACTGATATTCTGAACCAGTGCCAGGCATCTGGAAATCTCTGAAAGCAGGGCTGTAGGGGTGCTAAGATGTATGGGAAGCGAATGAGTGCCATTATCACACTGAGGGTGTAGAGGCAAAAGAGACTCGCATAGTCAGGAGACAAACCACAAAACCTCCCTGCAAGTTAAAGTCATATGAAATGGTAAAGGCAGGGTGGGGAGGGGAACCACGAACATGAAATAACCAGAGTGCCTGTGTTGTCACGAAGAGGAAAAGGGAACTGAACACCTTCTACCTCCTCCCCCATCAA